ATAAGTTAAATTCTACAAGACTGGGGTATTAAGACAGGATTAACAGATATCAAGCTTGAAAGCTTGATTTTGCTGGCTGGGGATTTCTGTGGTTGTCAAGACATATCATTTAATGAATGAATGACTGCGCCAGACAGTTTGGGAAGTCGTAGTTGTAAACTGTTTGGAAAAGTAATCTCATTATTTAGTGATCTTGAAGAACAGCTGAAATTTTAAGCCATACCAGAATTTTTGTGTGTATCTGCTCTGTGTATGTGAAGCCTCGCGCTGCACAGTCTCTGTTGTACACCAGCACTTACAGGGTTAAATTCCCTGCTGCGATTTTGTCATTTGGGCTCCTTTTTTCAATCTATGGGGACCTAACACTACTAATGCAGAGCCATCACTGACAAGCATTTCCCATTATTTCCCATCTCACTCACACACACACTCACACATACCATGCTGGGTTATTACTGACAAGTATTTCCCATTTACCCGAAGATGAAGCAAAATAACAATTTTGAGGCGGTTCTGCCACCCTTTTAACCTTGCACCTTCGTGTGCAAACACACACATGCATGCGTGCGCACACAGACACACACCTTCAATCTGACTCTTTTATCGTCACTGCAGAGAGACAGCAGCCTTTTCACCTTTTTATTTTCACTGGCTCATTTCATCTTCCCTTTCTGAGGGTCTGTCTTTCCCTCCCTCAGCTCCGCATTATCCCCCATTCTGTTCGGCCCCTCCTCATTTCTCCTCTGCTCTCACTCTGTATTCCTTTGCTTGTTTTCTTTATCCTTCCTCCCCCTGTCATACTTAATTCCTCAATTTTTTGCATCCTTCTCTCGGGGGAATCCATCTCAAACCCTGATTTCTCACCCACAGCTCCTTACCCGTCATGACCACCTCCCCTGCTCTCACTTTTTCTTTGAGGCGTCTCTCATGATCGGATCAGAAATTGAATTCCACCAACACTCTCAGCACACAAGCAGCTCATCCTTGCGCTGTTTTGTTGTTGCTGTTGCTGTTGCTGCTGGTTGTGTTGTGGTCTATTTATTTCAAGACTGCCGCTACACACAGTACACACTTACTTATACATACTTACAGTCATACAGACAGCACGATTCAACATCATTTTCTAAATTAATGAGGAATAAATCAGATTTGTATTCATTTAACACCATCTGAAAATTGTGGCTAAAATATTTTCAGTTTAGATTAAAGAGTGAGTCAAATGGAACTGATTAGTTTATTGAAAACCAAATCATTTGTTTCAGATCATTTTACTTACAGTAAAAGATAAATATCTGCTGCTTTGCCACCAAGTATTCCTCATCCTGTGATAAATATATTTGTAAATAATACAATGTTAACTGGGAGTCAAAGTGACCACTGAACCTCTGGATCAGGCCCAATTACATACAAGAGCAAGTCACCTTCTTCTCATCTGCATTGCAGAGAAAATTGGAGAGGCTGATAGAGCTAGAACATTTTCAGCAATGCCGTTATAAATGCACATCAAGTTCCTTTTTGAAGCATATCCCCAGAGTTATTTTTAAACTCACTGACAGCCTCTTAAATCCAATGCCCAATGGCCAAAACAATATCACGTTCTCTCCTAAATGTGATGAGTTTGCTGAATGTATGTGTATTAAACTGAAAGCCTTAAATGTCTCTTGCCCATTCACTCTGTGTCAGAAATAAAGCTGACATGGTCCAATTTAGAGTGGCTGACAATAAACTGCTGTACAAAGTCGACTTCATGCCTTCATGCTCTTTGATCCCAGTAATATTTTTAAAACAAGTTAAAACTTTGTAGCATGTGCTGTTATAATTCTTTAATTTATTCTTTCAAACAGCACGATCCTGGAGTTCTAGATAATGGATACATCTACTGAAGGTATGCTAAATATTAGTTTGTAACTACAGCCTAAATGACCATAAAGTTGAATCAACATGTCTCTTAGACAGTTTGAACAAAAACTAAGCATTATAACCTTGAATGTAGGATTTATTGATTTATTGATACATTAGTCAGAGCAGGATGCACCTAAAAAAGGGCAACTGAAGGTATTTTCAGTTCTATGCAGATGACACACAGCTATGTTTAAGTGTTACCTACTGAAAATTATTTTATATTCACATCCATTGATGATGTAGATTACGTTTTTGCTTTTTGGACCTGATCACAAGCATTGTAGTTAACTGTGTCATATGCAGACACTGAAGAATTCTTGCCAAATTGATGCCTGATGCCTGATTTTATTACCAGCTGACTTCATAACTGTATTTTGCTCCCATCTAAACTGCTAAAGAAAACCTCGTATTAAAATGAAGATAGTCCAAAATTCTGCAACAAGTCAGCTCACAAAGACCCGAGATCATCTTTAAGGTCCAACCACTTTCACATCTCAAAACAACTGTATACTGAATGTCAGACATGCTTTTAAGATATTAGACCCCTCAAATCCATGGGCAGAGACCTTTTAGCTGTACCAAGAGTAAGCTCTGTGACCTATGGACAGGCAGCTTTTATCATGGCCACCTGTGGAACAGTCTGCCAGAGGACCTAAGGGAATCTCAGATAATGTTTCGGTATATCATTTACAGCTTTTTCTCCTTTGATGAATTCTCGATGCTTTCCTAATATTTTAACTGTAAAGCTCTTAACTGTTTTATTGTACAGCATGGTTTAGTTTCCCTACATTGACAGCATTACTGCAATAGGTAAAGTAGGTCATAAAAAAATGTGGATTTAAAATATCAAAACTGACACGGCATCAGAGAGGAAGTACTGTATTTTATTTATTATTTATTTATTTGTCTGCACCTCTAGTCTCAGCTGCCAGGTCTTAGACGGTCCACACCGCAGTCGGTCGAGTCACTGCAGGCCTCTGGTGCTGAGGGAACCTTTTTATAACAATACAGTGGATTTTCACACCAGTCCTAAATCCAGAAAGAGCTAAAGAAGGGCCTTTTCATCTCAGAGGCAGTCAACAAACCCTTAGACGGAAAATAAACTAGTCTTTGTCATTCGGTCTGCTTGCTTTGAGTCCCTGCCTGTGTGTGTGTGTGTGTGTGTGTGTGTGTCTAAGGATCTATAGGAGCACAGGTGATTTTAGACTTTAAGTTTAAGATGTCTCACTTATGGATTTAGACTTTTCACTGTCATCTCAAACTGGCCAGCTTTATTGTCTCTGTTCAGTTACGAGTTTGTGGCTCGTGCAGTAAAAACTGTCCATGCTTTCATGCCTCCATGAGATAAACAATTTAAATATGAAATGCAAAGAACGGCACAAATGTCACTGGGTTACATCAGCTTTTACTGAAATGCTAAAAAATTGAGTCTTTAGAGATTCAATGTTACGTGCTCTTTACGCTCGTCTCTTCTTATTAGCCTGCATTGATCCTGGGAACCCCTGATGGGCTTCCTGGCGAGCATCAATACAGAGGAGACAGGGAAAATAATGTAATCATCTTCTTATTCTCTTTTACCATTTCTCTTCAAAGGCAATGCTCAGAACACAAAGGCATGAGAGGGACCACAGAGGCTGGTCGTCAAAAGCAGTACTTTGGGACTTCAATGTGTAACACAGATCTTTTTCAACTCTAATCATTACAAAATTTGTCTGGAAGTCACATTTCTTTTCCTCAACAAACTTTATTTGCAAACGTATTAACACAGAGGCACATGTACTGAGTAAGAATTATAAAATATATGTATAAATACACAAAGATCCATGAGTAATGGAATTATAATAAAAGAAAATAATCAAATAGGGCTGCGTTCCAGGTCATGTGACTTGGTATCAGGTTGTTCAACTCAAAACAATGATTGATTGTTTACAACATAACCAACAAGCATCGGTAGTATATTTGTGTTTGACGTGTTTAATTTTGTTGCACAACATAACCTTCAGTACACAGTAGCAGAATATAGTTTTAGCCAGAAACACTTATATTTGCAGCACAACAGAACTTAAAATTTAAGCCATTAAAGGAACATTTTACATAACTTTTTCTGGCATGCAGTAGCTCATCACAGATGTTCAGGCTCTTTTCCAAGTCCACAAATATTAATAGCAAAACATCTTAATAGGCCTTATTTTTCAGAAGACATTTATCCATGTCGCAGTAAGAAAAGCACAGATGTGAATAATAAAATTGTGAATTCCACTCACTGCTTCTGTTTCAGGGTCCTGGTATTGTGCATTGCTGGCTCACTGTCACACTGTCATGACTTACTGGGACTGAGCCATTCTTACTGTTATTAGTAACCCACCGGTTCTCATATGTCTGTAAGAAAGAAGGGTCTCAAAGGCGGAAAATTAGTATAAAATGTGTGTAAATTATGTACTTCACAAGCATTACCGTGTAAACAATATTTCGACACAAGCACTTGACAGCAAAACATTAACAGCATAAAAATCTCTCTCTGTAAAAGTAACAGCTGTGTGCTTTTGAGCTCCCATGCAGTAGATGAATTAGCACTGATCTGGTGCATAAAGGCAGAAGAAGTCAATATATAACATATATATATATATCATTATAAAACATTTCTACACTAGTAAGAATGTGTTGCACTGATACTCCAGCATTCAACACTTTATACTGCACGTTTGGTGCATTAGTGTAATTTGGACGGAGCTCTGAACAGCTGTTAAACCTTGTCGCATTTTATAAATCAGATATGTTAAGGGCTAACCAGCTGCGTGTGCCAAACACGCATATTTTTTCTCCTGTCACCCATTTTATGAAGACATCATAAGGCACTGCTTTATCATGATGGTCATAAATATGCCAGCCCTCCATCTCAGTCTTCTCCTGGGCCAAATTCCGATGATTATTAAAGTGCCTCACACCTTCCTGAAGGACACGTGTGTGGCAAACTTGACAAGGGAGTAGCTGCTGCTGATCCAAATCCACATATTCCGGGTTGTTTTCAGTATTAAAAGTTCCCCCCGGAAGCTGGTAAAAATCTAATGTATGCATCACTTTCAACTGTCCTCTGTCTCTTATGAGTCTTTCTCTCAGTGGCCCTGATGATCTTTGTGCAGCTGCATTCTCTCTTTCTCCACTTGGAGGCGTTCTCTCTCAATCTGCAGTCTGCCAGCCTCAAATTTAAAGAACTGCAGTCTCTCCTTCTCCAACTGCAGTCTCTCCTTCTCCAGTTTGAGCCTTTCTGTCTCCCGGTCCACCACTGACATCCAGCCTTTACTTTCTTTCTCTCTCTCCCTCTGTCCATCATGAGTGGAGGATAAAGCAGATGTAGACGACGAGGGTGGGCCTTGTTGTGGTGGCAGGTTAAAGGAGGAGTCAACGCGCTCTGATTGGCTGAGGAGCAGAAGCTTCAGCCTCTCCCTCTCCACCTGTAACCTCTCTCTGTCCAGCTGCAGTCTTTCTCTCTCTACCTCCATCTGACGAAGACGCTCCTTCTCCACCGCCAGCCGCTCTTTCTCCACTGCCAGGCGTTCAGTTTCCACAGCCAGGCGCTGTTTTTCCAGCTCCAGTCGCTGTTTCTCAACAGCAACCAGAAAGCCAGCTCCCATGTTTTCATGATTTGTTAGTCCACCCAAAGCATGGGCTGACATCCCCATCAGGCCTCCAGAAAGTGGCAGGTCTCTGGTGAAAGTCGGAGCCTTGGAGGAGTTGAGCATGCCCAAGTCGTTGTGGGAGTAAACATCACCAACATGCCCCTCGCCACGTGACTCGATGTCGCTGAGGAGGGACGGAATATCATCTTCATCTATTTCTCCATCTCCCACATCACCATCACCATCCAGCTAGAGGGAGAGAGCGAGATCATTAAAGGGGCACTATTATGATTTTTAGATTAACTTTTATTTTGATGAATTATGCATAAATATAATAATAATATTTCTCAGTAGTGTGGTGGTAGCGTTGCTGTTTTCTGAATCAAATAGCTTTCATTTTATTGATAAAGTAGTGCTGTCAAGAGCAGAATAAAACTGATCAGTTAGTGACGCCACCGTGTCTAGAAGCCCATATGACAGAAACATCAGGTACCAATCCTTGGGCTGATGCCTATGACGTCTCTGCTGCAGCGGACTACAGACTCGCAAGCTTGAGTTTACCAAATTTTACAGCTATTGCCAACCAAACTAACCCCCACAATAAAATTACTTCTGGGGTGCAAAAGGCTAACCTAAATAAATAAATACAGTAGCCTATATACCAGCAGAGGATAGGCCTACAACAAAAATAAAAGTTTCTAGAAAACCAAAGTATAGTGGTTAGTCAAACTTAGATAGATACAATATAAATATTGATATTGCTATATGACAGTTATGTTAAACTGATAGTTTTGTTTTAATGTGTGAAGCACTTTGTTTTACATTTTGCTTGTATGAAAGTGCTATACAAATAAAGTCTGATTGCTATTGGAGTGTGTTAATGAATTATTGTAGGAACGTGTAGTGTAGACAATCAGCTGAGTTGAGCTGTGAGGAAATTGGTGTTCTTTGGTTTGTAGCCACACTTTTTTTTTTAACACTGAGTGACAGTAAATTTAAGTTGTTGTTTAAGTCTTTTTTTGTTCTTCTTGAATATCAACCCTTATGTAGGCTACTTCATCTGGTAAGAACAATTAATTTTTTTGTGGAAAAGGAGAAAAGCATAGCCCAGTGGAATCTGAATGAGAAAGGAACATAAATATGACAAAAGAAGTGCATCGACCCAGACGTACTCCAAAGGACAAGAGAGGAGTAAATACGTTGTTTGAAATTTGCTCTTTCAGTTTATTCTGGAGGGAACTTTCCAAAGAATAAGAAAATAACCCTGATAAAAGATAATGAAAGATGCAATCAAGTTGCATTTAGGGAAAAGTAGGATCCAACTCAACTTGTACTAGATGCAAAACATCAGGATATCTATGACGCTGCAGCTTCGATTTTGTTGATCTATATAAAGAATGTGCAGTTTTTATACTAATGTCACTGAATACAATTGTGAACATATTATTATTATATTCTTTATCTCCGTTACAGAGGTTTGTTTGCTCAATGATTTACACCAGTGAACAACACAAAAACAATGAGATTCCAAACTAATGTTTTCATGCAGCATGCTGATCATACTGTGCTTGACACACAAAACTATTACCTCTATTCCAACGGCAGATTGTCTTGCTGATAATATTAATAATTTGAATAGACTGGATACAGGTTAATAACACTGTTAGGAAATCAGGTAAAAGATTAGATAAGGGAATTATTGGGGAAGATTGTAACAAATGAACAAATACGATGATGATTTATCTGAAAAAAGATCTTAATGCAATTAGAAAAAGTAACACTTAAACATAAAGTTTAAACTAAATCCTAATTAATTAACACATACTTAATTTAATTTCATCTCTACCTTGTGAACCAACGTGAGCCCAATCAAAAGGCCAGATTACCAAGAGCCACTTGAGCTGCATAATGTGCCAGCATAATCATTGTGATATGTTAAACATAGCTACCTCTGCTGATGAGGACATTAATGGAGCTGATTAACAGATTAGCGGGTATTTGCCAGTGTAGGCTACTTGTATTGTCATTAACATGAACAGTGTTAATATAAGCTCTGTATCAAAAAGCTAAAGATATTTGAAAAATAATGTCCTCATTTACATGCACATTGAATTAATATACTCCATCTATAGAGGGAACCAGTTTGTCTTATAGTGTTTTTTCTAGGATGAGGTTCTGTTGCTTACTCTGTATTCAGTAATGTCATCTTCCATCTTCACACCTGGTGGTGCCATCGTGGCCTGTCCGCTCGGTTCACTGAGAGCCGCCAGCTCCGGCCAGTCGCAGTGACAGTCCTTTGGAAAACCCGAGAGGTCGAGCAGCTGGTCACACCCAGATCCCAGAGAAGCTTCCTCGTGCTCAGGGGAGGAAGACTGATCATACTCGGTCTTCAGGGCCACTGACGAGGATGAGGAGGAGGAGAGTGAGAGCTCAGCCTGAAGCTGTTTTCTCTTCATCAGTGCACGCCAGTCCAGGTAACGACGCTTTACCTGTGCAGGAGATAAGGACAGAAAGGAACTGGGTACAGAACACAGTGTGTAAAAAATATAAAAGTAGGATTTTGACAAATAAACACACCTCAGCAGCAGTGCGCAGCTCTCCCTCCCCCAGTGAATTGACAGCTCGTGCCACTTCCTCCCATGCCTGTCTCTTTAGTTCATTAATGGCTGTGTTCTGTTCACAAAGAGAAGAAGGACAAGAAACAACATTTAGACAGTTTTCTTCTAATAATTCTATCAGGTCTGTTTTCATTAAACACAACAAAGCTGCCCTGTCTGTATAACAAATCCTCTGGTTTACAGCCAGAGGATTTGTTTTACCAATATCGATATTTTAATGTTTAAAGTCCCCCTTCACTCAAATTATGTTTTTGTTCTTGTTCCTACAGTTGGGAGTTGAGTTTCACTGTGGAGAATCATGTATGTGCAGAGTTTGACACAAAGGGGATATTTTCACATTTATATGCTGAAAGTGGAAAGTTTCTCTGTGCTCACTGAAAATCTGATTTTAAGGGGTGGGGCCTACAAGCATGATTTGTGACATCATAACCTTTTATTTATTTGGAAGTCAACCCTGGTCCCAGTCCTGGTCCAGTATGAAACTTATAGAAGTGTGATGTAGAAACTTGAACTAGTAGGAGACATCTTGTGTCCAGCAGGAAAACTTTGTATATTCGTAGATTCCATACTTTTTAACGAGGTAGAACGAGTAGATGTATTTTTAATGATTTCCATCAGGAAATTATACTTTTTTGTATAAAAAACATATTAGACACACATTATTGTTGCAAGCAGACTATTTGTATATTTCATAGTACCTGCCTGGAGGCAATTTTTAAATAATCTAATAATGATATATCAGCTGATAGCATTTTTTCCCAATAAACACAGAACATAACATTTTCACAAGAATTCCATGTTTTTTAAGAACTGTGACCAAGATGTGTACTAAGTGGGATGTCTTGCAGTTGAAAAGTAAACTGTGCTCTCTGGTGGACAATAGAGATAATGGAGATATTGCTTCTAAATTATTTAACATATTTTGACATTTCTGTACTACATTTCGGTACATTACTTACCAGCCAGCATATAAGCTGATATGAATGTATCTGCAATGTAACATAGACCAATATATTGACCCGGTTGTTTTTTATTGTGACTTGCTTTTTGGATGAGTTGTAAAACAAATCTGCGATATACTTGAAAGAATGAATATATTAAATGCTGCTCAGTAATGAATGCGTACACTCACTTAGACTTACAACTGGTTTGAAAACTCATTTCACACATTTAACAAGAGGGTACAAAAGACTTGGATGAAGTCGCTAATTGGATATGACAGGAGAGTTTACTAATTGGTTTGTGCTGCAGTTCTCGCTGCTGTTGATTTGTCCAACTCGACTCACGCTTCAGTGGACAGAGATAACAGAAAATAAGTGCTTTCGTCAACACTTTCTTAGACTGAATGAGTGTGTGAATGAGGAGTAGGTGTGTATGCATCAATGGCACTTCAGCCTATACTGCATATAAAATACCCTGCATGACACCACTGGTTATAAATCATTTGTTGACAACATGGCGTGGATTATTCTGGGACATATTATGATGCATTATTAGTTCTCACTGTCAGTTTAAAAAAGGAAGAAGAAGAGAAGATCTACACCTGCTGTCTGGAGAACAACACGTCCCTCCTCTTGTGGATCTCCCTGATTAGAGTCTGCGTTTCTCTCACACTGTAGTTGCTCTTCCTCTTCCTCTTCAGATGCTTCACCTGCAGGAAATCCAGCTTGGCAGCAAGAAGGGGACAGAAGCCCACAGAAAAAACAGAGAGAGAGAGAGAGAGAGAGAGAGAGATAGACGAGGAGAGACAACTGGGGGGAAATAAGCAAGAAGACCAGGGAGGGGAGAGAGGTGTATGGAGGAAGAAATAGAAGGAGGAAGCAATAAGAAGAAAGAGGTCCGGCAGAAACAGGGGTACAAAGAGAGGTAGATCACAGGCCAGAATTAAGGGGGGACTCGGTCCTCAGATGTAGTGAAGTGTGGATGATTGTTGTATAGGTTAGTCCATGTCTAGCAGTAGCTTTTCTTCAAAACTGCAATAGTTTTCATCAGGGAGCAATCCCTCAGTGGCTCCAGCAGTGTCTGTGAAGTTTCCCACCGGGGAGACTGATACCAGCTGTTACACTAGATGCTGCCTCTGTGTTACGGACATGTGAGAACTGAAGTTGTGGAAATAGCCAATGGAAGTGTGTGTAGTTGCAGAGGTTAGTAAATCATCAAAAGCCTTCTTTTTTTGCAGTTTGAGTGGGGTTTTGCCTTGTTGAGGCTCTGGTTTGATGTAGCAAAGGCCACAGAGAAATGACTGGACTTGCAGGGTTTTCCACCTTTATTTCCTGGCCTTGACTGCTGAAGGATGAGCTTACGCAGGTAAAGAAGCATCACAAGCTGAAGGGGTTCGCAGTCTTCCTGTAGATAAAACAGAGTCATTAATGTTACTGGAATATACAGTGTGTCAACTTAGGTCAATTTGTTATATAACCCAAAATCTGAGATATTTCTTTGAGGAGGGACATGCAATTGTAGTACAGTATATGCTGTACAGACCAAAGAAAGATGGAGATATGGAGAAATAGAATTACAATATAAGTAAATATTATGTGTTATATAATGTGTAATAGTACATAGAAAGTGTAATAGTACATAGAAAGAAAATAGCATTTTTGTTATTTGTCTTGTGAAGTGAAAATGCCATGAAGTATTTTTTGTGGATTGTAGTAGGGGAATTATCTTTAAAGATATTTTATCATGTTGCATTTTGAGTGAGGAATCTCTCATTAACTAAAATACCTCTCAATATAAAGAGAGACAGATTTTAAGCTCGTGAGTAAGCATTATGAATATGCTTACAGTTTTCACCAATGAAACACTGCTGATTTTCTCTGCAGCATATTAACCATTAATGCAGTGGTTATTGCCTCTCATATTTGGCTACAAGAAGACAGTACACTCGACAATATCTATTGCATTATGTTTATTATAGTAAAATAAGTGTATATAACCATATTGTCAGTACATTTGGCATGTACGTTTCTTATGTCAGTCTAGATAAAATACCTATATAAGCAATATATAATTCTAGGTTTTACCCTCCTATATCTCTCTAATAGTTCTAGTAAAATAACGTTTTTTCGAGGAATAGTATGCTATGAGATTGTATTTTTCTAACCAGACGAGCGCAACACAATTTAATCATCACAATCAGAAATGTAACGTAGTCCTGTGTGTTGTCTGTCTTACCACCGCCTCCAATATAACATTTTCTGTAATATATAGTGAGGACAACTCACCTCACGAACACAGATGTACCGCAATCAAAACAACATCGTAGAGGTACAATTTTAATGCTGCATTCACTGATCACTCGGAATCTACATATTTTGATGGCTTAATCTGTGAATACGACCTTACATGTGCTGGTCGGATAGAATAATTGGGGGTAATTTAAGAATAAAATGGGACTGTTCAATAAAAACATTTAGCTTTTTGTTGTGTTCAAACAGAACAGCGATACTTTCGCCATTTTGATGCAGAAGGAAGAAATCTACCTGATTGTCGATGATGTAGCCGACCTAAAAGATGTTTATTTTAAACAGGACGGTTAAAACACACCAAATTTAAACTCAGCATAAAATCACACATCTGTGGTATCAGAAAACTGACCCATTTATCGTAACCCCCACGCGGTTTAATCGTATTTACAACGTTCATGAGAGCATTTGAAGGCACCCATAGTTGCGCACTGTTTCTATCGCTCCTATTGGTCCATCCTCCACCGCGCCCACTTATGACGGCATTGAATCTCGCCGCGCTCTTCCGGGCATGTGCACCGCTGTCAGACACAAAACGTAAACAAAGTTTGAGTTGTAGTTTTATGAGCAGCCCTCAGTTCACCACCGCGGTGGGGAGATGGGCTCGGTTCGCTGGGCTTTCCGCTGCGGGTCGTGGACACCGAGCCGGTCCGAGTGGCTGCTCGCTGCTCGCTGCATTCAGCGGGAAGAGAAAGACAGGATCGGACAGTTTGTGTTCGCCAAGGACGCCAAATCAGCCATGGTGAGTGTGACTCTTTTAGTTCCCGTCACTTTCTACATGCTGACTTATTAGTTTGTGTGCACTGCCACGCGTCAGGTCGAAAGCTCTGCGTGTGAACTGTCTCTCTGTCTCTCTGTCTCTCCACCAGGCTGGCAGGTTGTTGCTGAGGAGATTTGTGTGTGAGAAGATGGGGATCCCCTGGTCGGAGATCAGACTGGAGCGATCTCCCAGAGGGAAACCGTACCTGGCTGCACCACTTCAGGTTCACACTGTGATTATTTATCTAGAGTGGTCTCTTCTGTTTCACTGATAGTGCACTTACAGTAACTACAGCACAGTAAATGATACCTAGTTTCCCCCTTTTAAATCTCCCAGGTATCTTGAATCATCTTATTCCACACTGTCTGATAGTTTTTAAACTCTGTGTTATCTTGTTCCAGCTCTTCTTTGAAGCTACAGTTTGTGTTTACACTGAGTGGAATATTCAAACACAAGACTTTTTTATTCCAAATGGAAGATGGATATACACATTTTACACATTTCCTCAACATTTGGTATCTTCTTATCTAAAACTTTGGGATCTGCACTAGAATTAAAAAAGGTTAAAGGTGCAAGCAGCACCTGATTGACAATGTATCCTTAAGTTATAACCACTTCCTGTGACCTAGCTGTACATCGAAATGTGACGCCAGGCCACGGACACGCTGTTAAACGAAAAGTCATAAGATTCATAACATATTATTATAAAAGTCTTCTGACCAAATATCAGCTGGAGTCGTACATGAAAGTATAAAACATGACATTTGCTGTTGCCAGTAGGAGGCGCTATGACTGTGACTTAATATTGGCATGTAGGTGTGTGTGCAAGACCCCTATCAGATGTAAAATTTTACCATTTGTGATGTGTGTGTCGAGTTTCATGAGTTTTCGAGCATGTTTAACCCAACAAAAATGCGATAAACTGTAAAAACACGAAACATCGGCATTCGCCATGTCGCCATGGCAACAGCGTTCAAGGAAAACTCACTCAAGATTCATAACATGTCTTAATCATCAACGTCTTAAAGGTACTCTGACCAAATATCTGCTTGATCTGGTTTAGTAAGTAAGTAAGTAGTACATTTTATTTATAAAGCACATTTAAACACAGTATAAACTGACCAAAGTGCTGTACAGTGGATGACTAAAAAAGGCAAATAATACAGAAAAACACATTGGTAAATAACTAAAA